GAGAAGCCGACGGGACCAGAGGGGAAGCAGGTGGTCCTGTGGTCTGTTGCGGCTGCCCTGCCCCCTCGCTGCCTGGCCCCTGCGTGCTGCCAGCTGGAGGGCAGCCAGGCCTCCTGGAGGGGAGGGGCGCTTGGGGGCAGTGGCCATTCCAGCCCTGCAGGGCCCAGCAGGCTGCCTGGGTGGGGGCCGCGGCCTGGCGCGACCAGGGGACGTGCGCAGGGGGAATCTTCCTGCTCCCAGGCAGCCTGGGGCAGGGCCGGTGCCCCCTGCTGATCCTGCCATCCCAGGGGCCCCTCCCCACCCCGCTGCGCTGATCCTGGCCTGGCCTGGCCCAGGGCTGGGGTGCTGGGCTCCGTCCCTGGCTCTGCTGCTAGCCCCCTGGGGTGCATTCCTTCCCTGCTCTGTGCCTGTCCCCAGCGTCAGGGTCAGGGAGGTCGTGGGCACTGGGGGTTACCTGTACCCAGCCTCCAGGCGCCCCCCTAGTGCCCAGCCCCTCCTCCAGACATGGGCTCCCACCCTGGCAGGTTGGTCCTCTGTCTGCTCTCCTGAACCTTCCTGGCCGCCCCGCCCAGCCCAGCTCTTGGGCAGCCAGCGCCTAGGGGCAGGGCCCGCCTCGGTGCCCCACACAGCTCCAGGGCTGGGGGTCCCTGGGAGGCGGGTTAACCCTGGCATCTGGTGAGACAAGATTCCACTGCCAGGGGGCACGTGCCCGACCGAGTGCCGGGGTTGTGCCCAGAGGACCCCAGAGCGCGGCAGGGAGCTGCTTAGAGCAGCCGTTGACCCTTGTCCCGACCCTCCTCATTCCCGGTGTCACGGAGTGAGGGGGAGTCAGGGCCCTGCACCCCCCACTTCCTGCGATTTCCCCGGGACTCTCAGCCAGCCAGTAACACAACGGTTTGTTGGACGACAGGAACACAGTCAAAGCAGAGCTTGTAGGTACAGAGAACAGGACCCCTCAGTCAGGTCCATCTTGGGGGGTGGGGAGCCCAGACCCAGGTTCTGGGCCTCCCCCCCCCCCCGTCTCCCTGGCCAGCTCCAAACTGAAACCCCTTCTTGCTCCCTCCCCCAGCCACCCCTCCAGCCTTTGTCCAGTTTCCTGGGCAGATGGTGTCACCTGGCCCCAACCCCCACCTGGGCTCAGGTTACGCAGGGCAGCCGCCATCATTACGTGCTCAGGTATCATCCCTCAGTGACGTCACCCCCTTATTTCCCATCCCCATCTCGTACTGGTGCAGCACCCCAGGGAAACTGAGGCACGCCCCGTGTTAGCAGAAGAGAGTAAACTAGTAAAACTCCCAGGCCCCATTCCCAGGTTAACACTCCCCAGTCCCTTCTCCGTCATCACACCCGCCTAACCCACCTGTCTCTTCTGCAGGGCCCTGCTGGAGGAGGAGTGCCGGGCCCTGGAGAGACACATCTACCACCTCCAGGTAGGACCCCTGGGATGGCGGGATCAGCAGGGGGCACCGGCCCCGCCCCGGGCTGCCTAGGAGCAGAGAGTATCAGGGGGTAGCCGTGTTAGTCTGTATCTACAAAAACAACAAGGAGTCTGGTGGCACCTTAAAGACTAACAGATTTATTTGGGCATAAGCTTTCGTGGGTAAAAACCAAACTGCATCTGAAGAAGTGAGGTTTTTACCCACGAAAGCTTATGCCCAAATAAATCTGTTAGTCTTTAAGGTGCCACCGGACTCCTTGTTGTTTTTCTAGGAGCAGAGAGTCGCCCCGCCCCGAGCCACCCTGCGCACCTCACCAGGCGGGTGACTGTCTCTGGTCGCGCCAGGCCGGGGCCCCCACCGGGGCAGCCTGTTGGGCCCTGCAGGGATGGACTTGCCCTGCCCCCAGGGCTGGTGTGTGCAGGGGAAGGGCTGCTAGCAGGCGCCGTGCCTGGCGCTGAGCTGTGGGATCGCCTGGCGAGCAGAGTCCAAGGGAGCCCTGTGGGGGAAGGGGGAGTGGCCCCATTCTAAGGGTCAGGAGCCAGGCCCCGGGCCGGGCCCTCGGCTCAGACGCTTCAGCCCTGCCCTTGGCAGCTCCTCTCCTCTCCTCTCTTCTGTGGGGCGCTGGCTGTGAGGTCCCGCAGGTTTCCTCTGTTAGAACAAGGGGCCCCTTGGCAGGAGCCGGGGGGATCGTGGCCTTTCCAGGCCTCTCCAGGTACCCGTGCCAAGGCTGCCTTGGGCAGGCCCTGGCTCACAGCCCTTCCTGGGTGGGCCGCTCTTCTCCCATGGGCACTGGGCAGGAAGAGTGGGTCACTCACCAGGGCCCATTGCTCTTGGAGGGTCCTGTGCACACAGCTACTGACGCGGCCGGGCCGGGCGAGTGGCCCCGAGGGGCCCGGCTGTCTGCAGGCACTGCTCCCAAAAGCTGGAGAGTGCTGCTGTGGGTCGGTGACTCCTCCCAGCCTGGCTGAGGGCCGGGCCCAGGCCTTGGCCAGCTCCCATCCCCTCCTGGCTGCAGGCGGGAGCCGGAGAGACGCTCCAGGGCAGCGGGTGGGTCCAGCTCCCAGCACCTCCCGGAGCAGGGCAGGCTCCCGCCAGCCGGGGGCAGTGAGGGGAAGGGTCCTCAGAAGGGTCCGTGCTGCCCGCAGGGGGTCCCTATGCTGGCACTGCAGGGCACCGAGCCCCAGCATGTCCTGCGGGAGCTCGGCTGGTCCCTTTCGGCCATGGGTGGCACCTGGGTGGTGCTGTTGGATTGCCCCGGGCTGGTGCAGGTGGGGGGGTCTCTTGCGGGGTCCCTGAAGGTGCAGTGGCGGGCACCTGCCGTCGCTGCCCCCCGGAGTGGCTGGGCCGTGGGCTGAGCTGAGACCTCGGGAGGTGGGGGTCTCTGGGGCCTTCGCACCGGCTGCGCTGAGAGAGGGGGCAGCTTCTTGCAGATCTCCGCAGGCCCGGACCCAGGGCCTGCCTGGTCCTGCCAGCCCCGCAGGGCACAGCCATGGCCCCTGGCACTGCAGGGGCTGGGAGATCCCCAGGTGCCTGGACCAGCACAGGGGGTGGCCCAGTCCCGGGCAGCCCTCCCTAACAGCAGCTCTCAGAGCAGTCCCTGCAGGAGGGGTTGGGGCGGGGGGCTACTGGAGCGTGGGCTACTGGGTAGAGGTGGGGGGGAGGCTGTGAGCCAGGACTCCTGGGTTCTATCCCCGGCTCTGGGACGGGAATGGGGTCTAGTGGGTTAGAGCAGGGGGGGCTGGGAGCCAGGACTCCTGGGTTCTGTGGCTCTGTGCTGGGGAGGGGTTTGTGGCCAAGTGAAGCGGCAGCGCCCTCTGCTGGGGGCCGGCGGCCTCGGCCGTGGCCTGGTTGGGTTCTGGGTTTCCCAGTGCAGCGTGCGCTGGTGAAATATTTCACGGGGCCTTTTCCGGGCAGTGCCATGGTGAGGGACCAGCGCCAGCCCCCGCGGGACAGTCCGGCCCCTGGAGGCGCTCAGTGCAGGGGCGGCTGTTGCAGGCCCTCCCGGAGTGGGTGTCCATCGGTGGGGGTGGGAGGGGCCCTGCCCTGCTCTGAGAGACCCTACAATAACAAACATGCCCCCCCACCCCAGGGGCAATGGGGCAGGCCGAGCTCTGACTCTCTCCCCCTCTCCCCAGCGCTGCCTGGAGGAGGAACACCGGGCCGCCACGGTGCCAGTGCAGCCGGCGCAGGAGCCAACGATGGCTGGTAAGGGACCCGCCCGACCTCTCCCAGGAGGGCCCGTGCAGGGAGCACACAGCCAGTGCCCCGGCCCAGCCTCCCCGCCACGTCCCCAGCATGGAGATGCAGCTGGCTCTGGGGAGGGGTGCGGGGGTGTTTAACAGCCACACAGGGACAATGCCAGTAGTGCAGGGCAGCCAGGAGCAGGCTGAGCCGGTGGCACTGAGGGAGGTGAGCTCACTCTGCACCCCTCGGGGAGTGCTCTGCCTCTCACCAGCGCTTCCCTTCCGTGCAGAGCTGCAGGAGCAGAGACGAGCCATGGAGCGGGACCTGCAGCTGGGCCAGTTGGACGCCAGGCCTGGCCTCTCCCAGGAGGTCCAGCGCCCTGAGCCTGCGGCCCCCCGACAGCCCAGGTAACCCCCTTTGAAGAAATTGGCCAGGGGGACCCCTGCGTACCAGCAAATACAAGCCCCTCAGGCTTGGGACTGAGGGGCACTGGCAGGGCTGTGTGTGTGGGGCTGAGAGGGGGCCCCAGGGATGGGGTGGGCTGGGCTGTGGGTCAGATCGCGGGGCACCGGCAGGGCTACAGGGACCCCAGGGGGCAGTGGGTTGGAGTTAGGGGCACTGGCAGGGCTGCAGGGGGCAGGCTGGGACCCCGGGAGGCAGCGGGTCAGAGTGAGGGGAGCAGGCTGGGACCCCTGGGGGGCAGCGGGTCGGAGTGAGGGGAGCAGGCTGGGACCCCTGGGTGGCAGGTCGGAGTGAGGGGAGCAGGCTGGGACCCCAGAGGGCTCCGGGGAGGAGTGAGGGGCACCGGGAGGGCTGCAGGGGGCAGGCTGGGACCCCCCGGGGGCAGCGGGTCGGAGTGAGGGACGTAGGCAGTGCTGGTTGCAGAGGGGCCCATTGCTGGATTATCGCAGGCCCTTGGGCTATCACTGCAGGCTGGGGCGGTGCCAGGGCTTTAGCCTGTCTCAGGCTTGGGATGTGGGGCGGGGCAGGGCGGGGTGGATGGTGCTACGTCCCGGCCGGGCTCTGCTGATGGCACTGTCTCCCTGTCTGCAGCTGCCCCGTCAGCGTGTCCCCCCGCCTGGCACCAGCCGCTCCGTCCCTGTCGGGCCGCAGAGAACCAGCACCGCGAGCCCCGGGCACTGCGTTGGGCCGAGTGCCCCCCGACAGGGGCATCTGTTCTCTGGGCGGCCTGGCTGGGGAGCTCCATGGAGGGGCTGCGACGCCCGGCTGGGCCCCTGGCCAAGGACAGATGGACAGTGATGCTGAGCAACGGGACCTGGCCACGCCATCACCCCGGGGAGCTGGGGTCCCTCCTGCAAGCCCAGCCTGCAGCCGCCTGGTGCCCCCGCCAGCAGCACCAGGGCCCAGCCTGGCCTTCCTCCCCTCGCCACCCCTAGAGCAGCGCCCGCCCCTGCGCCCCCTCTCCGGCCGCCGCCTCAGGCTGCTGGGCTGCCCGGGGCCCAGCTAGTGCGGGGAGCCTCGCCCGCCCGCCCTGAGGCACGGGGAGGGGAGCCTGGGGCAGGCTGGACGGGGAGGGGGTCCTGCCCCATCTCCCCACAGCTCCAGCACTGGCTCCTGCCCTGCTGGGTCCCTGTGTCCCCGGCTCGGCCTTGCTCTGCCCTGGAGGCACCCCACCTGCCGGGGCATTGCCCCCATCCGGTATCCGCCCCCTCCGCATCTCGGGGGGCAGCTCCTGAGCTGAGCACTGGGCCCGGCCTGCAGCGCCCCCTCCTGGCTGCCCCCTGCCATGGTGCGTGGGGAGCTGTGCAGGGTGCACTGGCCTAGTGCTCAGGTGGGGGTGAGGGGCAGTGGGGGGTGGGAAGCTGCCTGGGGCCTGGGCACTTCTCAGTGCTCCTGCCTCTGGGGGGGATAGGCCCTTGGTGCTGGGTCTCCTGCCCCCAGGCTGGCCCTGTGCCCTCTCTGTGGGGCCCCCTGCCCTCTCCCACCCTGGGCAGGACCCACACAGCTGCCCACCGGCATGGGGCTAGGAGCTGGGACCTGCCGGGTGCCTGTGCCCAGCGTCAGTGAGTTGTGGGGCAGGGCCTGGGATCGGGGCCTGAGGACCCGTCAATCTCCCGGCTGCACTGGGCCAGGCCTGGGCGGGCAGTGCCGTGGGGGCAGGGTACCAGGGTCTCTCACGCGTGCCCCCCCCCCCCGCCCCCAGAAAAGCAGCCGGCACACGGACGCAGGAATATAAATTTCATTAAAATCTATCAGACTTTAAAACTCTACACGGGGCGTCTCCGGTGCGGGCGGCGCGGCCCAGGCCCCAGCACCGTAGCGCTAACGATTAGACGGGAAGAGGCGCGTGGGCATCACTGGCACACGGGGCAGGGCACAGGATCCATGCAAGAAGAAGTGCAGCTCCGCGTTGGCTTGGGGGGCAGGGCAGGGAAAGGTGCCGACAGGGCCCCGCAGGCCCCCCTGTGTTGGCACATTCCCCAGCCACTGCCTTGGTGGCAGGAGCGGGGCCGGCTCCGCTGCCCGTGGCCCCGTCCCCGGGGACGTCCCACCAAACTCGTTTCAATGGTGGCGTGAGCAGCCGCAGGGCGCCGCATGCCCCCTGCCCCACCCGTCAGGCTCGGCTCTGTTCGGTGCCCTGGCATGGGGGTGGCGAGGCCATGCCTGGCCCACGTGGGCGTTTGGGGAGTGTCCAAAGGAGTGTACCTGCCCCCCCCCTTGGAGTTAGGGGCACTGGCAGGGCTGCAGGGGGCGGGGACAGGGCCCAGCTGCTCCCTGGCCCCTGACACACAGGGAGCCATGGCTTGTAACACGCCCCCAGGCACCACGCGGGCTGGGAGCCGGTCCCCCCCATGCCCGACGGGGCCCAGTGCCTGTCTGAGCCAGCCCAGCCCCATGGCGTGGGCACCTCCTGGGGGGGGCGGCGGTCAGTGATCTGGGGAGCACCCCCCATTAATACGTGTCTGACGTAGAGGAAAGCGCCTGTTGGGGGCAGCCCCCCCCCCCTCGCCTTAGTGCTTCCGGCCCCAGGGGCCTCGTGTGCAACTTAGCAGCAGGCTGGGGCGCTGCCCCTCCCCCTCCCCCAGCTGCCCCTCCCCACCATGGGGGCTGTGGGGCCCAGGGTGAGTCCAGCTGGGCCAAGCAATCCCCTTCGCAGTAGGGTCTGGACCCGGCCCCTGGGCCATAAAGTGCTTCCCCTCCCTGGGGCAGAGCCACCCCCAGCCCCATGCCCAGCCCCCCCAGCAGGGAGCAGACAAGGCCGTGGGTCCTGCTAGCTCTGTGAAGCCCCTCAGGGCAGGGCTGAGCAAATGGAGACAACCCCCCCCCCCCCCCGCCCTTGCCAGCCACAGGCTAACAGTCGGGGCCTGCAGCGGCTGGCTGAGGGCATAGGCACCTGGCTGGCACTGGCATACGGACCCAGCCAACGACCTGCAACTACCTGAAGGGGGGTCCAAAGAGGATGGAGCTCAGCTGTTCTCAGTGGTAGCAGATGACAGAACAAGGAGCAATGGTCTCGAGTTGCAGTGGGGGAGGTCTAGGTTGGATATTAGGAAACACTATTTCACTAGGAGGGTGGTGAAGCACTGGAATGGGTTCCCTAGGGAAGTGGTGGAATCTCCATCCTTAGAGGTTTTTAAGGTCAGGCTTGACGAAGCCCTGGCTGGGATGATTCAGTTGGGGATTGGTCCTGCTTTGAGCGGGGGGTGGGACTAGATGACCTCCTGAGGTCCCTTCCAACCCTGATATTCCATGATTCTAGGAAGCCTGGCTGCAGCCCCCCATGGGATACAGCACCGGGGGGGGGCACGCTCTGCTCACAGCGTGTCAGGGACATGGCTGGGTCCGGCCCTGCGCCCCCAGGCAATCTGCATGAGCGAGAGCTGGGTGAGGGTGTATGGGCGTGTGTATATACATGTGCCTGGGCCATGTATGTGTGTGCGTGTCTGCAC